ACTTACGCAGCGCTGGAGGTCGGGCAGGGCATCGCCCCGACCAGACGTAGGCCACCACCGCTACGACACCGCTTATTCGGGAGCGACCACCACCATCACCACGAGGCAGAGTACCACAGCAGAGATATCTGAAGACGCGTTGCGTAGTTTTAAACAGGAGCCGCACGAACATTGACATCAGCAGCGCGGACCGCCATCACACGGCACGACCTACCCGCGCACCTTGCCACAGGAAGGCGGCACGGGTCAGAAGCAGGGGCGAGGGCAAGCATGACGACGCACACAGCCGACCATTCATATACATGGGTACATGCAGAAATGTCTATAGTCATATATGTATATCGCAGTATATATACATATATATATATATATACATTATATATATATATATACATATATATAAATATATATGCACTTGGACGGCGGGGTGGGCGGTGGCAGTGCTACCGTTGCCGCGCCGTCGCCATGGAAAACAGGAGTCTCCCGCAAAAGCAAGGGGGAACCCTCCAGGGCGCCCGCCACCCCCGTGGCCTGGGCACCCCGCCCCTGCCCCTGCCCGGCAGGGTGGTTTTTTTTTGCCGGCCGCGTGGGTGGCTGGCGTTTCGGGGGGCGGTCCCGTGTGCTTCGGGGGCCACATGCGAACCCTACCCCTATACCCCCCACGACTTCTGAGGGGCATGGTGGGGTTCACTTCGCTCCCCCTCAAAAGTCGTGGGGGGCAGGGGTCGGGTTCGCATGTGGCCCCCTGTGTGCTGGAGGAGAGGCTCCCATGCATACGTATCTATAGTCATAAATGTATATCTTAATACATATACATATATGTAAATATACACACATAAGTGCACTTGGACGGCGGGGCGGGCGGTGGCAGCGCTACCATTGCCGCGCCGTCGCCATGGAACACACATGAGTCTCCCCCAAGCACGGTGGAACCCTCCCGGGCGGCTTCCCGCCCCCGTGGTCTGGGCACCCCGCCCCTGCCCGGCAAGGTTTTTTTTTTGCCGGCCGCGGGGATGGTATTGGCGCTTCGGTGGGCGGTCCCGTGTGCTTCGGGGGCCACACGCGAACCCTACCCCTACACCCCCCACGATTTCTGAGGGGGAGTGAACCCCACCCTCCCCCTCAGAAGTCGTGGGGGGTGTAGGGGTAGGGTTCGCGTGTGGCCCCCTGTGTGCTGGAGGAGAGGCTCCCATGCCCTCCACCTGGGCCCGTGTGCCTGGGCACTCCGGCGAGCGCGGCCGCCCAGGCCACCGCCGGAGGGCCCGCGCCGCCGTCGGGCTCGGCGGAACTCCCCGTGCGGCCCCGGGGCCGATGCGTTCGGAGCCCGGCGCCCGCCTGCAGTGTGAGGGCTCCCGCCCGTGGCTTCGAGGGCGCTTGTGCGGAGGGCTCCTCTGAACACAGAGACTCTCTCTCTTTGTCTCTCTCTCTCTCTCTCTCTCTCTCTTTGAGAGAGAGAGAGAGAGAGAGAGAGAGACAGAGACATAGAGAGAAGGGCCCTTCGGCCTGCCCACCTTGGCGAGAGCGGCCGCGGGGCCGCTGCCGCCGCACCGCGCGCTGCCGAGCCAAACCGCCGAATTTCCTTCAGCTGCCGGCTTTTCGCATGCCGCCGTGCCTTCCCCCACCCCCGCCGCTGCCAGCCTTTGCAGACGTAGCCACCCAGCGGGTGCACAATCTCGCTGCGTGCAGCGCCCCGCTCTCCCACGTTCCCCAGTTCCCTCTGCCAAAAGCTAGCCGCATACTTTTCGCTTTTGCTGCCAGCGGCCTGTGTTGCTTCCTCGCCGACGGGGCCAACGCTGCTCCTAACTGTCACCGCCATCGGCGCCGATTCTTTCACATTCTTCGTTCTGTCATCCGCTTTCTCCCGCCACCTCTGCCAAGGAGGGCGCCTCAGAAGAGGGGGGTTTTGGGCGCTCTCGAAGGCGCTGGTCCCACGAGGCCAGTTGACCCGAAGGGGGAAGGACCCGGCTCAGCCACAAAAGCACATGACCCCAGGGGTCTCCAACCTTTTGTTTCTCACCGCCAGTTCTGGCGTTGCCGCGCGCACAGCTACCCCTCTCTCCGCCACTCACTTCGATGTCACGATCGAGGTTACGTGTTTTCTCTCCTCCTTTCGACTGTCAGTCTGTCTGTCGCTTGCACAGTGTTTTACTGTATCCCGGCAAGCCGGCGACTCCTGGAACGGTGCTCCGAGAGTTGCCCGGCCGACCGGCCCCGGGGGGTGGTCTCGGTCGAACGACCCTGTAGGTGACAGGGATCAGAAAGATAAGGAGGAGGAGGAAGAGGAGGAGGACGACGATGAAAAGGAGGAGGAGAATGACGAGGAGGAGGAGGAGGAAGAGGGGACTAGTAGGAGAAGGAGGAGGAGGAGCACGAGGAGGAGGAGGAGTAGGAGGAGGAGCAAGGAGGAGGACCAAGGATGAGGAGGAGGAGGAGGAAAAGGAGGACCAGTGCAAACCACAGATGCACCGGCGATGTTGCACTACCCCCCCGCGTTCAAGTTTTTTTCGGCGTAGGCCTTTACAAGAGTGTATGTTTGCGGTTATTTTGGAAGACGCCCCGTAGAACGGCAATCGTGTGATAACCCCCCGCCGTGCCAGACCACGCATTTTGGGACCCCAGCGCCGCGAATCAATGTTATTGTTGCGTCCAGAAAATCCCACGTCGTGCCAAAAACTCAAGCCTGAGACTTCAACACCGCGAATCTATCTAATTGTTGCATTCCTGGAATACCAACCCGACGTTTTTGGGAATCATTGCAAATGTTTCAGACGAGCGTTTGCGGCGCAAAGGCGAGCGTCGCATTCTGAACATCCCCCGCCGTCGGTCCTTGAAACTCCAGGAAAAACGCGAACGTGCGCGGCGCATGGGCGAGAGCCACATTTTGTCGATCTAAACTGTAATCATCTTACGAACGTGCTCAAAATTCCTTCCGTCGTGGGGTAGCCTAGGGAGCATTAATCCCATGGAGAAGGAAACATTATCCAGCCCACATACAGAGAGGGAAACAAATCTCCGCCACGACATTTTGAGAAGTCGCGCCCGCCATCCTTGAGATTGTCGCAAAATGGCGAGCTCCAGGCTCAGAGGTGGTTTGGGAAGCTGGAAGCGCGAAGCGCCTGGCCCGCCCTGCCGACGTCTCAAAGGGGGCGCGGCCGAGAAGAGAGCTATATTAGGGCAGAGGGATGCAGGAGGAGGAGGAGGAGGATGCAGGAGGAGGAGGAGGAGGAGGAGGAGGATCTGTTCGGCGCTTCGAAGAATCTGGGCGGTCCTCGGAGGTTCCAGCGGCCTCTCCTGAGGTTCTCTTCACATTTCTTCCTCAGGTCTCGGGAGGGGAGCGGGCCAGGAGGAGGAAGCTCAAACGGAGGAGAAGGCGGACGAGGAGGAGCAGGAAAAGGGGCTCTCCGCGGATGGAAGTTTTTGATGCGATTTTGCACAGATGGGACCCCCACGAGGCCTCTGGAGGCCTCCAGGGACCTCCAGAAGCTTGCGTGGATCTCCCAGGATGCCCTGCGGAGAGTTATAGAAGTTCTGGAGAAGGGAGGAGCCAAGATGTGAGAAGCGAAAGGGGGGAGGAGCAGCCAGGACGGAATGGAAATGGTAGGAGGGCAGAGGAAGGAAACGAGGGCTTGCCAGGTGCATCTGGATACCCACGAAGGAAAACAGAATTTGAGAAGGGAGGGAAGGTTTGGGCCCCCAGAAGCCAGGGCAATGCAATCGCGGAGGGAGAAAATGAACATGAGGAGGAGGAGGAAGCGGAAGAGGAGGAGGAGGAGGAGGAGGAGGAGGAGGAGGAGGAGGAGGAGGAGGAGGAGGAGGAGGAGAGAGGTCCGGATCCCCTCCTTCTCCCCCTCCACTTCCGTCTTCCCCGTCGCAGCTCCCCTTCCCTCCTCCTCCGACCTCGAGTGGTGCTCCGCCCCCCCCTCCATCCTGCCTTCTCCTGCTCCCCGACCCTCCCCCCTCCCCCACCCTGCTCCCGTCCTCCCTCCTCCTGCCCCCACCCCCACTCACCTCCGTTGCCCTCGCTGCTGGACTTCGCCCCTGCCAGCCCTGGCTCCGCCGCCCATCCCGCGGCGCGTGCGCCCACTCGTGCCCTCGCTCCACGCCTGCCCCCTCGCGAGCATGCCGACCACTGGCTGGAGGTGAAGCAGCAGCAGCAGCAGCAGCAGCAGCAGCAGCAGCAGCAGCAGCGTGGCAAGAGCAGCAGACTGGAGGGCGGGAGGGAGGACGCCAAGGGTGGGGGTGGAGGGGAGACGGGAGGGGGAACGGGGCGGAGCAGGAAGAGGAGGCACCAGGGGAGTTGGGGGAGGGGGGAGCGCAGGCGGGGAAGCCGGAGCGAGGGGGGAAGGAGGGATAGAGGAGCAGGAAGAGGCGGAAAGGGAAGAGGGGGATAGGGGAGGCGTCGGAGGAGGCAGGAGGTGAGGAGGACGACGCGGAGGGTGGGCGAGGAGGAGGCGGAGGCGGAGGAGGAGGAGGAGGAGGAGGTTGCGAGGAGGAGGAGGAAGAGCACGAGGAGGTTGCGAGGAGGAAGAGGGGAAGCGACGAGGAGGAGGGGGGAAGAGGCGAGGAAGGGATAAGTTGGAACAGGAGGAGTAAGAGAATGAACAGGAGGGGCCGCGAGAGGAGCAGAGGAGAGGAGAGGAGGGAGGAGGAGACGAAGAGGCGGGGAGTTGGAGGAAGTGGAGGAGGTGGACGACTCGAGGGCCCCAGTGCCTGCACAGTAGAGTCCGCAGCTCCTGTTTCAGGCTGATGGCACGAGGGTCCCGGGCTCCACTGGACCGATCCGCATCTCTAGGGCGTCGAGGTGGACCTCGCCGAAGACGACGACGACGACGACGACGACGACGACGACGACGACGACGACGACGGCGACGGCGACGACGACGACGACGACGTCTACGACGACGGCGTTACGGCGACGACGACGACGACGACGACGACAACATTGAGCAGTCCTCAGGCGGCCCCGCCCTCGCCAGCGCCCGCCCCGCGTGGGGGGGAAGGACGGCGACGGCGTGCCCAACAGCCGGGACCCGTTCCCGGATGACGCGACGGAGTGGTCGCCCCACCCCCCCGTTGGTCTGGGGCTGCCAAGAGAGCGTTTTCCCCACATTCAACGTGGGAGCCTTGTTTCCCACATCCAGAGTGGGGTGCTTGTTTTCTCTGCACCACCCCGCGCAGGATCTCCTCTCCACCCCCCTCTCTTGCCCACCATCACTCCGCATCATCATCGTCACCAATACACAGCCGTCATCAATCATCACTTCCGTCGTTCTATCATGACAAGCGATAGTCATTAGCGTCATCTCACACCTCCGCCGTCCGTGGTCATCATCATCATCATCATCATCATCATCATCATCATCATGATCATGATCATCATCATCCTTAATGAGCATTCTCACCACTTCCGTCGTCCTATCCTCATCATGTTTTCACACTCGCTACACCATCACCATCTCTCGTCCTTCTCATCGCCATCACTCTCTCATCATCCTAGTCGCACGCACGCGCACACTCATCTTAGGAAGTCCCAGGCGGGAGCCCCTTCCCTATATGGTTCGCAGCTCGTGTCACTAATCCGAGCGGGTCATCGGCATCTTTTAACAGGTATAGGACGTGAGTACCCCCAGGGGGCAAATCGTGAGGAAGCCTCGATCGGGGGCTTCGCCTGTGAGTCAATAGCGAGGAATCCGCCCTATGGGGCCCTCACTTCATGTTGCCAATCCGAGCGGTTAATCGGCATATCCTACCAGGCAAAGTAGCATTTGAGTACCCCAAGGTGGCAACTCGTGAGGATTCCTGGAGCTGTGGCCGCGTGTGCAAGTGAATGGCGAGGAAGGCTCGAGCGGGAGTCTTATCCCCATGGGGACCGCGCTTACTTTTCGACTCCGAGGCGGGTCATTGGAATATTTCACCAGGCAGAGCACGTGAGCACCCCAAGGTAACACATCGTGAAGATGTTCGGATCGGTGGCCTTGCTTGGGAGTGAATGGCGAGGACCTCTCGGCTGGGAGCCCCCTCCCTATGCGGCCCGCACTTCATGTTTGAAACCGAGGCGGATCATCGGCGTCCTCTAGCAGGCATTGTATTTGAGCATCCTAGAACAGCAACTCTTGAAAACATGGCGAGAAAGTCTCGAGCGGGAGCCCTCTCCCTTAGAGGCCCGCAGCTCATGTTACCAATCCGAGCGGGTCATCGGAACCCTGTAACTCTCGCCATTTTTTGGTTCGCCCGTCCTTCACCTGGCGGTTCGTCTTGAACGGGAGAGCATGGTTTGTGAGCGAATTTTGTGAGGAAGTCTCAGGCGGGACCCCCTCCGTTTGGGGCCCGCAGCTCATGCTACCACTCCGAGCGAGTCATCGGAATCCTGTAGGTAACTGTTGCCACTTCTGAAACCATCAGTCCTGAATATGGCGGACGTCTCGGGCGGGAGCCTCGTTTGTAAGTGATATGCGATGAAGTCTCAGGCGGGAACCCCCTTCCTGTGGGGGTCCACAGCTCATGTTACCAATCCGAGCGGGTCACGGAACCTCGTTGTTTTCGTCATGTTTGCTTTCTGGCAGTTTGAATATGGCGGAAGTCTCGAGCGGGAGCCTCCTCTGTGAGCGAATGGCGAGGCAATGCGTGTGAAACATGCTGATCCTGCGCCCGCCCACGCAAGAGCTCCTGCAGCCCAGGCCGCCAGCTTCCCTGCGGAAGACGTCCAGGGAGTTCGACAGGAGAGCGGGGAACTCCGGGGCTGAGGCGGAGCAGCTCGTGGGAAACCTGGGCTTCGCGCGGCCTCCCGCCGCGCGGCCGCGACTAGCTCGACACCTGCGGGGTTGTCCCAGCGGCTTGCTCCCGCGCCCCCGCGGCCCATGGGGTTGTCCCAACGGCTTGCCCAACGGGGTTGTCCCAGCGGCTCCGCGATGTGGCCATCTGAAAACGCTCCCGTGCCTCGTGGCGGCAGCGACGCCGAAGAGAATCGACTTGCGCGCCCTTGCTAAGAGGGGCGGGGGAGGAGGTGGATGGGGGAGAACACGCGGGAGGACGAAGAGGAGGCAGAGCAGGGGGCGGGAAGAGGGCTTGCGCCAGGCCGAAAAGTAGAAGGGTGATGAGGAAACGGGAAAAAGCCTCCGCATTCACAAGGACGACGATGAGGTTTACTTCCAGGTTCGTTTGGGAGGCTTCCGTGCGGGGTCCTACCGTCGGACTAGTTGTCTTTGCGTAGACCGCACAAAGCTACTCACTTCCCCCGTTCTTCCTCGCGATGTCCATGGCCGACATCGTCATCGTCACACGCACCCACGCACGCACGCACCCAGTCATGTGTGCGTTCGCGGAACGCACAGCACAACCATCATCAGCACCATCAGCAGCATCATGATCACCGTTGTTGTTGTCATCATCATCATCACCACCACCACCATCATCATCATCATCATCATCATCATCATCATCATCATCATCATCATCATCATCGCGATTACCATCATCGGTATCATTCGCAGCACGATCGTAATTTCACCATGGTCGTCAGCCCCTCACCATTATGATCGCCGCTCTCACATCCTCGTAGTCCTCACATTCATCTTCACCATCCTTTTCCTCATATTGATCATCATCACCGCCATCGACCGCACACTCACGTTCGGAAATCTCAGACGGGAGCCTCGTTTGAAAAGGAACGGCGAGGGAGTCGCAGGTGGGAGCCCCTTCCCTGTGGGTCCCGCGGCTTAAGTTACCAATCTGGGCGGGCCATCGCAACCTTGTAATCGTCGTTACTGCTTGGGCTTCCCAGTCGTGAATATGACGGAAGTGTCGATCGGGTATTTCGTTTGAAAATGAGTTGCGGGAATATCTCAGGGAGGAGCCTCCCTATTGGACCCGCGGCTCACGTTGTGGACCCAAGCGGGTCATCGTAACGTTGTTATTGTCATCCGTTTTGGCGATTCGGTCCTGAACATGGCAGATGCCTCCGGCGGGAACCCCGTCTGTGTGTGGATTACGATGACATATTTAGCGGGAGCCCTTTCCCTGTTGGGCCTGCTCGTCGCGCTATTCATCCGAGCGGGCCATCGGAACCTCGTACGTGTCCTCACCTTTTGGTTCCCCAGTCGTGAACGCGGTGGAAGTCTGGAGCAGGAGCCTAGTCTGTGAGTGAATTGCTAGGACGTCTCTTGCGTAAGCCCGCTCCTTTTGGGGCTTCCAGCTCGTTTTGTGTTGTTCATCTGAACGGGTCATCGGTACCGTGTAACTGTCGTCAGCATGGGGTTTTGAGATACTGCGGAAGTCTACGGCGGGAGGGTCGTTTGTGATTGAATGGCGAGGAGTTCTCAGGCGGGAGCACCTTCCTTATATCCGGCCCGCAGCTCGCGTTACCAATCCGAACAGGCCACCAAAACCGTGTACCTGTCGTGTTTTCTGGATGCGTGAGGCTTCAACATGGCTGGACTATCGAATGGTGGGCTCGTTTGTGAACAAATGGCGAGGAGTCCATGCGGAACATGCTAATTCTGAGGCCGCTCTCGCGAAAGTTCTTGGAGGGCGTGCCGCCGCCTTCCCTTGGAATGCGTTCGGGGAGTTCGAGACGAAAGCGCGAATCTCCAGGGTTGAAGCGGAACACTTCGCAGCACAACTGGGTTTCGTGCGGCTTCCCGCTTGAGCGCGGCCGCGACTAGCTCGAGACCTGCGGGTTTGTCCGAACGGGTTGTTCCCGCGCCCCAGTGGCTCGTGGGGTTGTCCCACGGGATTGCCGCAGCAGCTTGGCGATTGGCCATCAGAGAACGCGCCCGTGCCGCACGTGGCGGCAACGGCACCAGGGAACGTCCATGTGCGCGCCCTAGCCGAATGGGCGGGGGAGGAGGTGGGTTGGGGAGAAAGACCGGAGGACGAGGAGGAGACAGCGCAGGGGGGCGGGAAGGGGGACGGCGCCAGGGCGAAAAGGAAAAGGCGATGAGGAAACGGGAAGAGAAATTCCGAACCCACAAAGACGGCGATGAGGTTTACTTCCATGTTGCTTTGAGATTTTCATGAGGGGTCCTACCGTCGGAGTAATTGTCAGTCGGCACACCCCGCGCGGGATCTCTCTTCCCCCCTCTCTTCCTCGCCATCGCTCTCACCGCCATTACAATCGTCGCGCAATATCACACCTTATACGTGTCAGGAACACGCGCACACACACACGCGCACACATCGTCCCATTCACCACCACCATCATCATCATCATCATGGTTGAGTTTACCCCACTACCATCATCACCACCACCACCATCATCGGTATCATCATCATCATCATCATCATCATCAGCAGCAGCAGCATCATCAGCATCATCATCATCAACACGATCGTATTTCCAACATGGTCATCACCCACTCGTCATTATTCTCGTCACTTTCACATCACCATGGCGAGGAAGTCTCTGGCGGGAGCCCCTTCCCTAAGGGGGCCCAGAGCTCACGTCACCAATCCGAACGGGCCATCTAAACCGTGTAGGTTTCGTCACCCCTGGACTCTTGAAGCTTGGCCATGGCGGGAGTTTCAGTGGACCCCCCCATTTGTGAGTGAACAGCGAGGAAGTGCATGCAAACATGCTAATATTGCGGCCGCCCACATCTTGCAGAGGCAGCAGCGGTGCTACCGACGAGGGGCAGGGGACACGAGGCGCGTCACTGCAGCTGGAATGTACAGAAATCTTTAAGAATGAACCTTTGCCCGCTGCAGAGCGTGGCTCGGAGTGCCTCAAACAAACACCACGGGCAGGTACAAGAGCCTACCTAGGCGAAATGCCTGGGCCACAATGACTTGAGCAACAATGGCTACGGAGGGGGACTGGAGGAGGCGCGAAAGGAGGCGAAGGAAGACAAAGAGGAGGAAGAGGAGGACGAGGAGGGCGAGGAGGTGGGAGGAAGGAGGACGGAACAGGAGGAGGAGGAGGAGGGGGAGCAGCAGCAGGAGGAGGAGCAGGAGGAGGGGTAGAACAGGAAACGGAGGAGGAAAGAGAGGGAGGAGGAGGAGGAAGAGGGGGAGGAGCAGAGAAGTTGCTCCAATTTTCGGGTGAATTGAGCGCACTGTCGAAAGGGTAGGAAGAGTAGAGTTGGAAGGATAATGAAGATGCGGGGAGGGGCAAGGCGAGAAAGCGTGGAAATAGCGCGTTACAGACGAATCACAAGTATGCGACGGGGGATACTACCAGCAATACGAAACCATAATCGTAATACAACGAATCATTAGCTCACATAATAGTAGCAAGAAGGATAGTACTAACCTGTCAACTGTGAAACGTCCGAAGATGGAGACGAACAGTAAAAATAAGAGCAAGACACACCATACTCATAATACTAAACATCGTATCATTAATCCTATTTCACCAATGACAAAGAAGAGGAGGAATAAGAAGAGGAGGCAGAGGAGGTAGGGGGGAGGGGGGATGTTGAGGAGAGGCTCCCTCACCGCGGCGCCCGCGAGGTCGGACATGGACGGGGACGGCGTCGGAGACAACAAGGACAAAGTCTCGCGGCGTGCCCTGCCGTTCTTTCGTCCCTTTCCCTTCGGGCGCTCTTGCTGACCATGGGAGGCAGGGGTCCCATTCGTTCTGCTCTTCCTCCTCTTCTTCCTCCTCCTACCCAGCCTCCTCCTCCCCTCCTTGGGAAAGGTTCGGTGGGGCTGGTTCGGTATGGGCAGTGATGCGGGTTTGGTCCATGGGCCGGTTGTCTGCGCTGTCGGCGCTTCCGTGTCTTCGTCATCGCCGCGACGCGAGGTTAAGACAACAGCGCTACACGTGCTCATGGCCGATACCATCCGCCAGGACCTGGGCGAATCCCAGGGGCCGTCGTTAGCTTGCTGGCCGCTGTCCCAGAAGGCATGAAGTTCACCGTCGAGCTAGATCTGGGAAGAGCGATTGCGATCCACAAGTCAAATCGGCCGCCCGAGCGTCCTGCTCCAACGTTCGGGGTCCGCGGGTCGGAGCTTCAGGGAAGCATGCAGGGCCCAGTGCTCGGCGGCAGCAGCCGACACTGGCATCGGTTCGGCCGAGGTCGCAGCGGCAAAGCAAGAGGAGTCCTCCGTCAGCGCTTCAAGAGGCCAAGGCTGCGTGGGCGGCGGCCCGGTCGCTCACGCGTGGCCTCGGCGCGTGCGGGGAAGTTGCACAAGACGGGCCTCGTTCGGGCGGGTCATCGCGGCAGCGAAGTGGCGTGACTCGCAGACACGGATCTCGATAGCAGCTAGAGCGTATGTCTAGGCACCGCGGGGCCCCGTAGCCACATCAGACCTAGAGCCTCGAGCCCATGCTGACTGGGAGGCCCGTCCTGGAGAGCCGCCATAGGGCTTGTACAGCTCGCTGGTCGGGAGTCTACCACTCAGCCTTTTTGGCACAAGTTCACCAGCATGTTGCTGCAGTGCATGGTCTCCAGAGACCTTCGGCAATCTCCCTACAATTTAACGTCCTATCTACGGCTCCTAAGGACCCTGAGGGACCCTAAGGGACCCTGTCGAGCAGGAGACCTCGGCAGACCAGCGAATCTTGCTCGCGGCGATGCCACCAGCTGTAAGCAAGCGTCACCTCGAAGCGGCGCGCGCGGCCGCCAAGATGGGTGAATTCGGAGACGGGCTTGACGCTGCAGTGGCCAGGCGGCCACTGCCAGACCCGACAGCTGGCAGGCTGGAGAAACGTTGCTTGTTGTCTTACCTCACCCAGTGCCTGTGGACGAAGAGAAGGCTGGCCGCACCGCGTTGTGACCTGCGCGCGACTTGCATGTGCGGCCCACACGACGTGCAGCACAGGTCATGATTCCTCATCGTCAGGGACTCACCACCCACCAAACCACCCCAACCCAACCCGAAGGCTTCAATTTGCCCTTCGTTTCCAATGGGCGGGGGGGGGCGGGGGGGGAACACTGGGAAACCACATATGAAATCCGTACCCCTCCAAACCCGAAATTCGGGTCTTCGAGTTAGGTTGGGGTTGTTTGGTATGTAGTCAGGGACCTCCTCAGGAGTGAGCAACTGGCAGCTAGCGGGACAGATAATCCAGAAGAGTGCCGCAACCGGGCTCCCCTAGCGTACGGCCTTCAGGCCCAGCCCCATCCCGCGCACCCCCTGCCCTGCCTTGGGGAGGGGGGGGGGTCACGTTGTAGTTTGAAGTCGGGCACGTCCCTCTACGGGAGGAATATTCGAAAATGGCTTCAAAAAATAGTCTGGGGACGATGTTTGATTATTTTTGATGATGACTGGAGTGTTTTTGGGTACTTTCTTTCAGTTTTTCGCCCAAAATCTGCCTGTAGGAGGACGCGGCCGACGTAATTGTAGTAGGAAGGTAGGATTTCTGGCCGCACGAATCGACGACCACAAAGGGTATGGTTACGCTGGGGTGTGGTTTGCGATCGGCACCGTCGGGGCCTGGGGGGCACGACACTGTCCTCGTTGGGCCTCGGGGCGCGGCGGAGAGCTCTGCCGAGGTTGCACCTCGGGGTGCCAGTTGCAAACCACGCCCTTTGCATACCACACCCTTCGGAGTCGCCGGAAGAAGCGGCCCGTGAGAGGTGCAGCCCCGACGGGAGAGGGGGGCCTCTGTGGACGGACCTCCGTTTTCGAGCACGGGTCGCCCCTCTTCGGAAGCAGGCAGGGCCCGCCGGCAGCTGCACGGGCAGCCGTAATCGAACGTTGGATTTTTTTTTGGTGCGTTTTGCCATCGTTTCTGTATTCGTTGTTCTGCCGATCGGCGCGGGCTGTCGCTCGAAGAAACGCCAGAAACATAATCTTTTGGCGCTCTGGCGCGCTCCGCGCGCCAGGGAGGGGTGTCCAGCGCGAATCCAAGATATTCGCGCGGAGTCTTCTATTCATTGTTCTGCCGATCGGCGCGGGCCCTCGCACCCCCCCCTCCCACCACCCCAATGGAGAAGCTCTTGGCTATTTTTGGCGCCTGTTTCGATCAGGTGGAGTCTCCCCCATCGGACGCACTGTGCCAAACAGTCGCACTAAGCAGAGGTCTGGAGCCAGACCCCCCCCCACCCCCCCCCAGTCGAACGGACGAGACGCGAACCTGCTGTAGCGAATCCGCACGTGGGGGCCATTGCTGGCTTCTCGAGGCTGTGGTGCAGCCTCCATGCCTGCTGGCCTGCGCCCGACGAGTTTGGTTCCCTGCCCCCCCCCCCGAAAGAAGGAGTCAACGCGTTGTGGGTCTGGTCTGGGGAGGAGGCGAAGGAGGAGGAGCAGGACGACGACGAGAGGACGAGGAGGCGAAAGAGGAGGCGAAGGAGGAGAAGGAGGAGGGGGAGGAGGCGAAGGAGGAGGAGGCGACGAGGAGGATGCGAAGGAGGAGGAGGAGGCGACGGAGAGGAAGAGGAGGACGAGGAGGACTAGGAGGAGGCGACGGAGGAGGAGGAGGAGGAGGAGGCGAAGGAAGAGCAGGCGAAGGAGGAGGAGGTGAAGAACGAGGAGGAGGATGAGGAGGAGGAGGAGGAGGAGGAGGAGGAGGAGGAGGCGAGCAGGCGAAGGGGAGGAGGAGGAGGTCGAGGAGACGGAGGGCACGAGCCTGCCGCCCTGCGGGGCCAGCCCGGGCTCGCCCCGCGCTCTGCGGGCTGCCTCCGGCGCCCGCAGGACGACGATAGGGACGGCGACGGGTACGCCAACCGCAGGGACGCCTTCCCCAACAACAAGCACGAGTGGCGCGCCTGCTCCTCCTCCTCCTCCTCCTCCTCCTCCTCCTCCTCCCCCTCCTCCTCCTCCCCCCTCCTCCCCCTCCTCCTCCTCTCCCTCCTCCTCCTCCTCCTCCTCCCTCTCCTCCTCCTCCTCCTCTTCCTCCCCCCCCTCATCCTCCTCCTCTTCCTCCTCCTCCCTCCTCCTCCTCCTCCTCCTCCTCCTCCTCCTCCTCCACCTCCGCCCCCTTCTCCTCAGAGGCCTCGGGCTTGACACCGACACTAAGACCCGCGGTGTGCCGTCGCCGTGGGAAGATGCTCCCGATTTCGGTGATGCTGGTAGCATTCGGGCTTTCTAAGTGGCCGAACTATTACCACCAGCGCCCAAATCTGGGATCAGCTTACCCCTGTGAGGGCACCCCCCCTGTGTTGGTGTTGGTGCCCATTTCCAGTCCTCCCACATCCCTGCGCGAAGCCTCACGCAAGTTTTTCCCGCGCCGCGTCGGCGCCCGCAGACCCCCCAACTCTCAGTGCTGATGCTGGCCAGAGCACATGACGTCATCAGTTTCGTCGGCGTCGGGCCGCGCCGCGCGCACCACTGAACATTGGGGATTTGGGGGCGGTGGTTGGGCGGGGGCGCCAATCTTGCGCTGAGTTTCGCGGAGTGCTGTACGGCCAGGTATTTGTGGATCGAGGCTCGAGCGGCGAGGCTCGAGGCTCGCGGCCTTTATTTGGCCTTCGCGGGCCCTCCTCGCTGCCCCGGCCGGGCGCGGCTCGAAAGGCTGGTGCCGGACGGGCCCAGCGTCGAGACAAGTCCGTCCAGAGCGTTCTGGAGCGCTCTCAGAGCGTACTGGAACGCTCTGAAACGGCCGCGGCGCCCGATACATCCTCCCAAACCCGTTGTTTCTATGAGATTTCCGATGTATATCGGTCCGATTTGGCTTCGATTCTGCCTGCGTCTTATGGGGCGTTTGGACCCCGGGAGGGTCCGAGGACCTGCTCTGAAGCGCCTGCAGGCCAGCGCGCCGCGCCTGCCGCCGGCTCTCCGACGCCACGACCTGGAACTTTGGCTCAGCGTGTCGCGGCGGCGGCCCCTGCGAAACGCTGTATGCCCTGCGGGCGGATAAAGTCGACACCGATGATCAGCATGGGGACCCTGGCATCCTTGCTTTCGGTCCGTCCTTAACCACGCTCGATGGCCAGCCACGCTCGACAGAGCTTCAACAAGGGCGTCCAAGGCCCTTGCAACCCTGTCGCGCATCCTTGGTAGAAGTCTTGACTGTGTACGATCGGGAACTTTGGCTCAGCGTGTCGCGGCGGCGGCGCCAGCGACACGCTATATGCCCTGCGGCTAGGAAGATGCAACTGCATACAAATGCATGCTCGACGGTCCGTGCGGACATCTCGGACCTGCGCCGGACCCCCCTCCCTGGCGCGCGGAGCGCGCCAGGGGCGGCGCCAGAGGCGCTGCCAGGAGGGCCCACCGCAGTTCTAAGAGACCCGCGCGGACCGTCGAACAATCGTGTTTACGCAGTTGTTTCTCTTCCTGCTGCGGGCGGATGTGGCGTGCCGCTCCGCTGGGCACGGGGAGCCTCGCGGATGCCCGGGGCGCCGACGCCCGGAGGGCCGGGACGTGGCTGGCGTGTCGCGCCGGAGCGTGGTGGTGATGGGCCTGTGTTCCACCGCCACCACCATAAGTTGGAGGGGAGAAGGAGGAGGAGGAGGAGGAGGAGGAGGAGGAGGAGGAGGGGGAGGAGGCCGAGGCGGCGGCGGGAGCGCTCGCACGGCGCTGGGGGGCTGTGCTCAGCGTCGCCCTGCACGCCGCCTGCGCCCGGCAGCTGCGCAGCGCGCTCGGGCGGGAGCGCACGCGGGCCGCGGCCGCCGCCCTGGCCGAGGAACTGGGCGGCTAACTGGCGCCGCCGGCGCTGCGCCGCCACTGCGGCTGGAGGTGGAGGAGCCCTACCGGTTCGTCCTCGTCTCGGTCAGCGACAGGAAGGGGCGCGCGTAGAGTGGCGTGCGTGTGCAGACTTGTTTTCGTGCTTGCAGGAGGAGGAGGAGGAGGAGGAGGAGGAGAAGGAGGAGGAGGAGGAGGGTCCCCTCCCCCTCCGACTTGCGGTGGTGGTGGTGGTGGAAAGCAGGCCCATCGTGGTGGGCCAGAGCTGGCGGCCGGACGCGCGAGCCAACAGTTCCCGACCGCGGAGACGGCGCGTGGGGCCAAGGGCCGCTTCGGCCTCAGGCGGGGCTCGGGGCGCCCGAGGTCAGTTCTTCGCACGTCTGTGCCTCTGGCGCCCCGCGGGGCTTTGCCCGCCGGTGGGCCCCTGAGCTTCCCGCTGCAGCTCTGCCGTGCCTCCCTCCTGCCTCCCCTCCGCCCTCCTCCTCGTCGCTCCTCCCTCCTCTCCCCACTCGTCCTTCGACTCCTCCGTCCGTTCTCCCCCATCCTCTCTTCTCATGCCTCTCATCCTCGTCCTCCAGAGATCGAGGGTTGGATCCCGCGCGTCAGCGAGGAGTTGATCGAAGGGTTACCTGTTTGTTTATGATGTTCCAACCTACTTTAGCCTTGATCGCCAGGAAGAATTCCGAGCACCAGGAAAGTACCGAAATTAGAGATTTTTTACGTGTCGGGCTCTGGGAGGCGATACTCGTTCGACATTGTTTCGATACGTTTCTTTGTGCTCGAAATTCTGTCTGGGATGTGGAGCATCATAATTCTCATTGCGCATCATGCCTGGCAGATAGGGTGTGAAAGACTTGGGCACCGTGCTCCCGCCGGAGGACGCCGCTCCCGCGGAGATCCAACACAGAGCAGCCATGGGATCGCGGAAGTCCTGGGTAATGAAGCGCAGTTTGCTCAACCGAGCTCTGCTTCACTTAATGGCAGTTGCGTGGGATACGTGATGGGCCAATTTTCCACCACCACTACCATACCTAGGACGGGGGAGAAGGGAGGTTGGGGGGGTTCTCTCCTCCTCCTCCTCATCCTCCTCCTCCTCCTCCTCCTTCTTCCCTTCATCCCTCTCCTACATATGGTAGTGGTGGTGGGGAATCGGCCCGTTAATGCGGTGCGCGCGTGTGGACGCCAAACGTGAAAGAATTCAGATGTAGAGTGCATGCCCCGAACTGGATTTTTTATTAAAAAGCTGGTTTATGAATCCAGAAAGTTCGTTTTTAATTCAAAAGATTGTTTTTGAATTCAACTTGGTTTTAGGAATTCAAGAGGCCGATCCGGCACATCTGTGGTTTCGACCGAGCGCCGGGGGAGCAGTGGCATCAGTGGATCCAGCGAGTCACGCGCAGAACTTGGACGGAAGCGCGAGCCGCCGGAGTCCGCCAGTGGGTCTGGGCGCATGCCGCGAGAAATTGGGCCATGGGCGGGACATTCACGGCAGGTTCGTTTCGTGTCGACCGGCGGCGGCGCCCCGCCGCCAGCGTTCAACGTTGAGCGCCGCCGGCAACCCAGAATCGGTCGATGTTGAACGACCTGACATTTCGGAACCGGTCGATCGTTCAAGGTTGAACGATCCCCGCGGTGTCAGAAACCAGCGCCGACCACGTGGCGGGAGGCCGAGTAGCCGGCCACCCCGCCTGTAGGCAATCAGAGTCTGGCGGGCTTATGAGTCCATCCAAGAGACCATGCGCCGCTTCATTGTGGACCACGGTTATGGGAGCTGAGTGTCCCGTCCACGTGGCCGGGAGCAGTGGCTGAGTACGACAGCGAGTTCCTCTGTGCGGCTCGTTTCTGAAGTATCATTTGCTTCGGCATTCCAGGACTGCGCGCCCGTAGTTGGGCCTCTTCGGAGCAGCGCATCTAGAAGATCCAGCATTTTTTTCTCGGTCCTCCTCATTATCTGTCCTTCTCTTCCCTCCTTACCTGTCCTCCCTCCTCGTAATCCTCGCCCTCCCTCCTCATCGTCACTCATCCTCCCTCCTCGGCCGTCGCCTGGGATATTGCTTGCGGTGTCGCCAGGCTCGATGCGCCGAAGCTTCACAGCGCTCAACAGTTTACACGGAAGATGGGCGGTTCTTTTTCGTAACGGGGTTCTCGATGGACGGCTCGTCGTTGTTACATTACCCGAGATTCTCCCAGACATCATAGAGGAGGATCGTTTATCTTGAACACAGCGTTCGTTTGAATGCCAGGCCCAAGGGGGCGCTCGTCTTTCAAAGGGGCGTAGTGAACAGCACTGCTTGTCGGAGCCTATGGTCAGAGGATGTGGGACGGAATAATGTCTTGCAGCATCGTTGCTTGATATTAGAGCTGTTTGGATTATCCTTCGCTTTCCTCTTCCTGCCCCTCGTCCTCGTCACTATCTCTCGTCTCCCACCACGATAGGTGTTGGGGAACTTGTGCAAATTTCAACAACATTCCGCCCTTGCTGTTTCAAGCAAACGCACACACGGATGAAAGCGCGTGGATTCGCATCAGGTGTGGTTTCCGTACAAATTCAGCACGCTCCGTCGCCGAGTCAGGTGGCATTGGACTCATGTTTCGGGGGGTGCTTTCCCCGATCCGAGGATCTGGCGCACATGCGCGATATCCACGTATCCTTAATCAATGTTAGCGTGTGCCCGATCGTTTGACGAGGCTGGACACCGACAAGGACGGCGTGGGGGACAACAATGACACCGACGACGACGGCGACGGCCACGTCGACGGCGCGGACAAGTTCCCGAAGGACAAGGGCGAATGGCGCGCTCCCCGCGCATATGAGGAGGATTGAGGCGAAGAGGAGGGGGAGGAGGAGGAGGAGGAGGAGGAGGGGGAGGGGGATGAGGAGGAGGAGGAGGGAGGAGGAGGAGGGATTCCGAGTGATTCCGATGAAGCGGGCTGTTCGATGGCCCTTCGCCCGAGGGTAGAGAGGGCAGCCTACCGAGAAGGAATCGGCCGAGACTAACTCCAGTCGGTATACTTGAGATTCGGGCGCCCTCGCGCCGAGATTTGTAGCCGATGGCAGCGTTGTGGCCGCGCCCACGGCCACCAGAGACTCTGAAGAGAGCCGCCGCCGACCCCCCTGAGACAGCCCAAGAGGGCCCCAGGAGGCCTCCACGCTGGCTGAGGAGCTGGGCGGCGAGGCTGCCAGGCTGGGCTGCTCTTGCATATCTTCATCGCCGCGGTCGCCTGCAGCGACGTGGCGGCCTCGCACGAGGTCAGAGAAGCCGAAGGGGTCCGTCCGCTCGCACGCAGCTGGCGCGGGGGCGCGGTTTCGAGCAGCCGCCCGACAGGACGAACACCAGACGGCAGGCCCGCCCCCCGAATGCCACGGCAGACCTCGCAAAGCGAGGTCCGTGCGCGGGTCGCGGAGCCTCCTGTCCTCAGCATTTTTCAGCTGATCCCCATCCCTGTTGGGCCGTGGTATTTCGGCCCCACCAGCCCACCCCCGGGGGTCCAGGACCCGCGAAACCCCAGGGGGGCAGCTTGCATCCCTCTCTGCAACGGGGGTAAGTAATACCGGTCAGTGGGGCCCATGACATGCCAGCGGGGATGGGGGACAGGTGGATCGGTGGGTTAACCGATGCTCACATCCTTGCCCCAATGCGCCCCACTATCGGCATCGCCCGGCGGCACTCCTCGCCGGGAGCGCCACCCATGATGCCCGAGGAAGAGGCAGCATCCCGCAGGGAGGCCTCGACGGCGGCTCGCCGAGCGCGGCCGCGCCCACTTCTGGGCCCTGCCGGCGCCGAGGCGCCGCAGGCCGGACAGTGACCGCGCCGGCAGAGCCGTAGGTGCGCCGCCGCAGCAGGCGGGGCCGCCCCCGCGTCGACGCGGCGGGCGGCACGGCCCCATCGAGGAGGAGGAGGAGGAGGAGGAGGAGGAGGAGGAGGAGGAAGGAGGAGGAG